ACATCCTGGGGGTTACCATTGACCAGAAACTCATCTGGACTCACCACATTAACTACAAGACCAGGCCAGAAGCTAGGAATACTACGGTGAGTAACTCACCGCCTGACTCCTCATAGCCTGTCTGCCATCTACAAGGCACAAGTCAGGACCGTGATGGAATACTCCCCACTTGCCTGGATGAGTGCAGCCCCAACAACACTCAAGAAGCTTGACACATTCCAGGACAAAGCAGCCCGCTTGATTGGCACTACATCCACAAGCATTCACTCCCTCCACCACTGACAGTCAGTAGCAGCAGTGTGTACTATCTACAAGATGTGCTGCAGAAATTCACCAAAGATCCTCAGACAGCTCCTTCCAAACCCATGACCACTTCTATCTAGAAGGACAAGGGCATCAGACATATGGGAATACCACCACTTCCAAGTTTCCCTCCAAGTCACTTACCATCCTGACTTGGAAATATATCGCCGTTCCTTCACTGTTGCTGGGTCAAAATCCTGGAATTCGCTCCCTAATAGCATTGTGGGTCAACCCACAGCAGGTGGATTTCAGCTATTCAAGAAGGCAGCTCACTACCACCTTCTCCACGACAAATAGGGATGGGCAAGAAATGCTGTCCAGCCAGCGATACCCACATCCCACAAATGAATACAGAAAATAAAAGGTCAAGGGGTGGCTATGCATATGGTTTGGGAAGTTTGCATAGAGAGAGTAATTCAGAGAGGTTAAGAGGACAGTGAACTCACAGGACAGATAACACAATGAGGTGAGATGGAGGATGAAATCACCAAGGACGAGAAACCATTTGGGTGCACAGGTCGAGGAAGGAAAGCAGTGAAAATATATTGATGAGAAACATTTTATTATTTAAATTTATGTTTGTCACTGAAGGGTGGGTTAGGAATTAAGTACCAAGCTGTCATAATCAGGAGCAATGCTTCTCTAAGTGGATACTTCTGGCAGCACAAGATGATCTCAGAATGCAAAGTTAAACTACACTTTTCTGTACTTTAATTTTTCGAGATTTGTCCCCATTTTGATTCATCTACTCATCCTTAATCACGTCAAGTCTGGCAGAAAAAGTAAAATACAGTCAGTCAGTGCTAGGGGAAGTAATGTTGTAAATCATCTCTGTTAACAGTTACACAGTTCATGTAAGAAATTTTAAAGCCTCAGAAATGGAAGAGAAAAGATTTAAGTGAGATCAATTCAATGAATCATGATTTAGAGCCTGCTACCCAATAGCAATAATGGGATAAATTCTCTGGATCCTGGAAGTGCAGACATTGGGGCAGTAATGTGGGAAAGGGCTCTATAATTTTGCAAAGGAAAATTAGAATTGATGCCCACTGTTGTGAAGTCAGGACAAGATTTTCCAAGGGGCATGCTCGGAAGAAAGGATGCATCAACTTAACAAATAGGGCAACTGAGTCTTTTAAATTGCCAATAGGGTGTTATTTTACTGACTATTTTGAACTTAACGGGACATACACAGAGGCCAGGGTCCTTTAGAGCCCTAGAGGAGGCAACAATGTAGTACCTCAGTTCTAGCTTCATTCTGTGAGACAGCTTGCCTTACTAGGGGACATTGTATCTCATTGCAGGAACTGGGGCTAAAGTGCCAGGGGCAACCGGCAATTGTGTGGATTTAATGGGGGAGGTGAGTTGAGGTGGGTGAAGGATATATCCTGGTGAGAGGAGCTGGAGACTGCATGCCCACCTGCCATGGGTATCGTGCACTGAGGAGCTGGATCTTCTGGTGAGGAGCAGCAGTTCAGAAGCAGAAAGCTGCAGGGGGCCAGACAGTGGTGGGGAGGCTTCATTCAGTGGCACCACTCCACAGTGCAATGGGTCCACAAACAGGTTAATGGCTCTACACAGTACCATATCTCGACACTACTGCTTTCCAAACTTTTTCCAACTGTGACTCAATTTAAAGACTTGAAAAATGGAAGGATCCTGGCCCTCCCCCAATGAGAACTCTCAGAGTGACAGTGATAGGGCTGGGGGATGGTGGTAAAATCTGGGGGAGGGAGCAGATCTAGAAGAGTAGGGGATTGGGGAATAAAAGACCAGTGAGATTGTGGGATTGTTGGGGGTGCAGGTCTGCTACAGGGCAGGATTTTACAACTGCCATTAATGCCTCAGAGCTTGCAACTCTCAATTTCAGCTTGCAATGCCAGCTGGGGTCCCAACACCCCACTTTGGGAAACTGTGAGATGGATATAGTTCAGTTGCCACTCAGAGTTCAATGGTACCAAATCGAAACAGCTATCTTCGTTGTGCTGTCACCTCTTTAAATATGGTGCCAGCACCTCTAGGATTGTCAGCTGATGCTGTGGGCTACCACCTTACTGCCCACCTCAAATCAAGGATGGATTGCCCCTTCACCCCTGTGCCCCCTCACCTGCCAGTGATTGAGCAGCCAGCTGGCATGAAACTGCTTTTGCTGTCGACCAACTCGGGAGCAGTAGAGAACCTTCTGGACCCGGAGATGGGACTTGGAGCTGAATTTCAATTGATGAGTAAAAGGGGAAATGCTGGAAATACACAGCAAGTCAAGCTGCTTGTATGGAAAGAATCAAAGCCAATTGCTGGATTTTCGCTGTCAAGTTGGGAAATGTCACAACTTGGCAAGCCATCTCGAAAAACTTTGAGAAGGTTAAAAGGCCCACATCAGCTCTCTAGGACCTTTTCCCAGCCCAGTATTAAAGGCTGTTAGTTTCACTAACCTGCAGCACTTAATACTCTTCCCCTCACTCCCATCCAAGGGATTTAGCTGGTGAACCTACATTGCATTCCCTCTTTGGCAAGTATCGTTAGATAAGGGGGTCAAAACTGTGTACAAGACTCTATAAAACTGCAGCAAGACATCTTTATTCCTGTACTCAAATCCTCTTGCAGTGATGGCCAACATATCATTTCCCTTCCTAATTGCTTGCTCTATTGGCTTGCTTGTGCTGAGTGACTCATGATCAAGGACACCCCAGGTCCCTTTGGGCCCTCCCCCGCCCATTTCTCAACTTCTCACCTTTTAAGAAGTATTCTGCCTTTCTGACTGTATCTACCAAAATAAATAACTTTACACTTATTCACGTTACATACACATTATATTCTCTGGGCCATGTTCTAGCCTATTCACTTAGTTCAAGTTTTATAGCATAGCACAAGGTCATTGGGGTAACATCCATAGGGGTAACAGAGGAGTGAGGCTGGTGCCAAAGGATTGGTGCCTGCTATGCACACTCCCTGATTATCCTTTGCATTGACTACAACGGAGAGCAAGATCAAATGGAAACATATTAAGGCAGCTGATCCAAAATCTCCACCTTGATCCTGAAAGTTACCATCATCCAAACCTAGTGAATATGGACACTGCAAGTGGGGTTAACTTTACTCCTTTTAAGAGCTGTCACTATAAAATGAGAAGCATCTGCATTATTTATTTTGGGACAATGTCTTACTCTGGGAATTACAGTTAATTTTTGAGAGAAAATAAGTATTTCACAGTGACCTGGAGTTTTGCCTACAATCCTGGGCATCACATTTCAGGGAGGATATGGAATTATTGGAGAGACTGTAGAAGAGGTTTACAAGAATGCTTTGTGGGATGAGAGACATCAGTTATGAAGATAGGTTGGAGAAGTTGGGGCTGTTTACTCTGGGGCGGAGATTCACAAAATCATGTGAGGGCTGGACAGAATAGGTAGCGGGAAACAGGACCGAGAGCAAGAGGGTACAAATATAAAGCAAATTGCAAATGCAGTGAATGTGATGTGAGAAAAAGCACTTTTACTCAGCAAGTAGTTTGAATCTGGAATGCACTGCCTGAAAGTGTGGCAGAGGCAGGTTCAATCGATATATTCAAGAGGGCATGAGATAACTATTCAAATAGAAACAATATTCAGGGTTATGGGCAACGGCAGGAAAATGGCACTAAATCATAATGCTCTTTGAGGGAAACTTGTACAGACATGATGGGCTGAACAGCCTGCTTCTGTACCATAACAATCCTGTGATTCTGTAACCTGAAATGTTCTCAGATTTTCAGGGGAAACAAGCAAATGGCTAGTTCTTTTCCCAAAAGTATATCCTATATTTGTTGTTTCTTTTATATAAACATGTATTTTTGGAATTTGTATTGCTATTCGTATTGAAAATAGTAATGTGAAAGTCAAAAATACAAGACAGATCATGTTTTAACAGTTCACTAAGTCACTCTTTTCATATCCATTAAACATAAACCATGCATTTTGTGGATCCTGACTTAATCTTGGAGCTTCCAAATTACTGTGTATGGAATTTGCACAATCATCACGCTAGATTGTTGCTATCAGAATTTGATATGCTTTATTGATTTTTAATCAGTGTTTCTCCATATCCCTAAGTGTGAAGGTCAGTTTTAGGCCAACTCCAATGTTAATTTGGAGAAATATAACATCATCTTTGGATGTCAGGGTCATTCATTATGTCTTTTTGTAGAAGCAGGTACAATGGGAAATGGAGTTATTATTCTAGGCTGAACAGTATTGAAAATGTACTCCCACAAGAGCACACTCATTCAACATGCTAATGTTACCTGACATTTTATTTAGATTTGATCTTGATGCTGTTGAACCTTGCAAGAGATTGCATAATTTTCCTTTCAAACTATACGCTGATACATAACTGAAGTACCAGTTAAGTGTTGCAACGTGAAAAATGAAGTGGTCCACATCTTTAACTGTACAAGACAATGTTGCTTTTGGTGAAATGAGATTGGGAGTTTATTGATCAGGATGGCATCAGGAGTTTTTAAGTAAAGGAAAAACTGCCTGACGACAATCTTTGGATTGATTAAGCTGCAGATAGTGTAGGGATTGCTCCCTGGTTCTGACACTGGGCTTATGTGTATGATGTGGTGTGGTGGAAAAACACTGGAGGCAGATGTTTCAGAGGCCAAGAAAACTCTGATTTTATTAAACAAACAAACAAAATTGATATATTTACAAGGCAAGAAAGTGAATATCAAATTGAAACCACGTCCCCCCGTCTCTGACCAAGACTGTCTCCCAGTTAATTAAATACAGTGGGTAAAATAAATACAATGGGTGACTGTTACTGTACTAATAGGGAAAGAGAGAGAGAGCGAGAGAGAGAGTTACCTGTTCTCATCCACTTCCCTTCCTCAGAGGTGCCCTACACCGTTAAACTCCAAACCCCACTTCCCTGTCTATGACTAGCCCAGCTGGGTTAGAGGTCTCAATGATCTTAGGCCCATCCCTGGTGTGAAAACCACGATTTCGACTGGCTTTGAAATAGTCGCTTGCCGTAGCTGGGACTCCGCGAAGGGCTGCATGTACCGATAATAGTCAGTCGGGTGGTGTCTGTCGATCCGGTTGATGCGTGGGACCGGCCTGGTGAGTTACCCTGATTTTTCTCCTCCTCCTGGTGGTTTTGCGAGTGGGTTGTTGTTGTGGCTGGTGGAGAATGTTGCTGATGTTGCCCCGGTTGGTGTGTCGTATCTCAGGATGCCTTCAGTCGCCTCCAGACGTCGAGTGGAGGTTTGTACTTAGTTTTCAGTATTTGGTCTCGCTCTTCTGGTTTCACAGTGCCTCGTTCACAGTGCAGGATTCTCACTCTCTTTTCTTGCTTCTGTCTCTTCCTTCACTTTTCGTTGCACCTTCCACTTCGTTGCACTCTCCCTCTTATGCTGGGCTCGGGGTCTCCAGTTATACCCCACTGCAGGACCCCCCTTATCTCCCACCAAATCTGTGAGTTATTGATCCCCTTTTCAGGATTGAAAAGGTTTCCTGAGCACTGGAGTGAGTGATAATCATTTTTCAATTGGAAAGAATGGTTTTGATGGGTTTGGAATGTCCGACATTTCCTTTGGATGAGTATCTGTGCAATTCGCATAGTGGTGTGAAGGTTCCAAGATGAAACAGGTTTTCATGTAACACAATGGCGTGGAATGTTCAGTACCTTTGTGCCTGAGTATTGATTTGGAAATGAACGATTTGATACCTGTGTAGGCTCCAAAGGGTCTGAAATTGTTGAGGTTGTTTATTTTCTGTAGACTGGCTTACATTGTTTTAGCTGAGGCTTTTGGTTTCGCTTAGCGAGCCCCTGTCCCAGACATCTGCCCCTGGGCTTGTATATTCCCCAGTCTGTTCCAGCCAGCCTTTTCCTGGCTCAGTTGCAGCCCATGGTTTCTGGAGTCCCAGTGACATTAATCCAATATACTGTAATTCCCATAACTTCTCCCTTCAGAGGGTTTTAAGTTCAGGGTATGTCCAACAACTGATGGGAATTTTTGGCTCACCTTACATTGCTGCATGAAGACAGAGCAGCCTGAATCATCCAGACCCAGTAAATAGAAAACATCTCTCTCCCTTTTCTCTGTGTGATTGAGAAAAAAACATGACACTTAAAAGAATTCTAATGCTAGAAAAGACCTTGGTCCAGACAACCAATTATTGAATCAAACCACCATCATTCTGACAACACAGCATCATTGTTGATAAAATCAAAATAACTGAGAAAGAGATAACTTAACCCAACTTTGTGGTCTGGACTTTTGGTCTACAAAAATCGTTTTCCTGTCTATATTTTCCAACCATAATATTTGTGTCCTTTGACTTATTTGTGAATGAGTGTATGTATTTGGGCTTGAAAGGGATAGAGTTTAAGTCACATGCTAGTAGATCAATAATCTTTCCTTTTCCTCTGCCATTTGTTAAAGAATAAGTGTGTTTACAAAAAATAATGTTTCTTCCCTGGTAATGGCAAAACTCAGTATAAAGTTCTGTTCCCCTGAATAGCAGTCAGTTGATTGCAATTGATCATTTTTGTGGTGTTACCATCCCAACTGATGTCACTGATGTTACTACGGGACAAGTCAGATCCCAAGATAAAACCTCACTTGATAGATTTGTTTTTTAAAATATGAAATTCCAGGCTGCACATTTGGTTTTAAAGAAGTAAAATAATACAAACCAAGCTATGTAAATATAACAAGGTGTGGAGCTGGATGAACACAGCAGGCCAGGCAGCATTGTTTGAATAATTTTGAAACACACAGCAAAATAAATTCCAACCTACTCCCCAAAACTATCACCTTCCAGTCACTCAAAAACCAAAGAAATTCCCCTTTCCCCATGTGTAGATTAACATAAATGCTCCCTTTTTTGTTCCAGTTCCGAGAGATGCAAAGCCTTTTCCCCAAATTCTCACACAACTGAGTTTAGACTTTCTCACCTCTGAATAACCAATGCAGATTTCTAACCAAGTGTTTCTGGTCTGAAGTTCTCACTAGCTATAAAAAAAAATTTAGCCTGAGGTAACGTATTCCCTTAATTGCTCTGAAGAAATTTCTTTTTCCAGGAGAAACCACACTTGCATCTGAGTTCAGTCAGACAGGTTTTGCAGAGTCAGGAGTTGAATTACTCATTGCAGGAATCCTAACCTCTTACCTACTCTTGAAGCTACAATATTTATATGACTTGTCAGTTCAGTTTCTGGTCAGAATGTTGATAATGGGGCATTCAGTGACAATAGTACTGTTAAAAGTCAAGGGGCCGTGGTTATGTTCTCTCAGCTTTGAGATGGTCATTGCCTGGCATTTATGTGGTATAAATGATCCTTGTCACTTTACAGCCCAAATCTGGATATTGTCCAGGTCTTGCTGAATTTGGAAATGGATTGTTTCAGTGACTGAGTTGTGAATGGTGAACATTGTTCAGTCATCTGTGAATATTTTTGTTTCGTTCACTCATGGAATGGGAGCATCGCTGGCCAGTACTTATTGTCCATCCCTGGCTGCCCTTGAGAACGTGGTGGTGAGCTGTCTTCTTGAACTGCTGCAGTCCATGTGCTGTATGTTAGCCCACATGCCCTTAAGTAGAGAACTCAAGGATTTTGACCCAGTAACAGTGAAGGAACAGCGATATATTTTTCCAATTCAGGATGGTGAGTGGCTTGGAGGGGAACTTGCAATTCTCATGTGATGTGTTCCCATGTATCTGCTGCCCTTGTCCTTCTAGATGGAACTGGTCATGAGTTTGGAAGGTGCTATCTGATGATCTTCGGTGAATTTCTGAAGTGCATCTTGTAGAAAGTACACAGCGCTATTACTGAGCATCGGTGGTGGAGGGAGTAGATGCTTGTGGAAGTAGTGCCAATCAAATGGGTTACTTTGTCCTAGATGGTGTGAAGCTCCTTGAATGCTGTTGGAGCTGCACCCATCCAGGCAAGTGGGAAGTATTCCATCACACTCCTGACTTGTAGATGATGGACAGGCTCTGGGGAGTCAGGTAGTGAGTTACTTTCCACATTTTCCCAGCCTTTAGCCTGCTCTTGTAGCCACTTTGTTTATGTGGCAAGTCTAGTTGAATTTCTGGTCAATGATAACACCAGGATGTTGATAGTGGGGAATTCAGTGATGGTAACACCATTGAATAGGCAGTGGTTAGATTGTCTCTTATTGGAGATGGTCATTGCCTGACATTTGCATGGTGCAAAGACCCTACTTCTGATTTTATGGTGGAGGATAGGTCAGTGATAAAGCAGCTGAAAATGAATGGGCCTGGGACACTACCCGGAGGAACTCCTGCAGAGATGTTCTGGAGCTGAGAAGACTGATATCCAACAACTATCTTCCTATGTGCCAGGTATGACTCCCACCAGCAGAGAGATTGCCCTGATCCAGTTTTGCTAGGGCTTCTTAATGTCATACATAGTCAGATGTGCCCTCAATATCAAAGGCAGTCACTCTAGCCCAAACCTCTGGAATTCAGCTCCTGTCCATGTTTAAACAGAAGTTGTAATGAGGCCAAGTGTTGTGTGACCCTGGTGGAAACCAAACTGGGTGTCAGTAAACAGAGTGTTGTTAAGGAAGCTCTGCTTGACAGCACTGTTAATGACACCTTCCATCATGTTATTGATTAGTGAGAGTAGACTGATGTGATGGTATTTGACCAGTTGGATTGGTCCTGCTTTTTGTGTACAAGATATATCTGGGCAAATTTCAACATTATTAAGTAGATACTAGTTTTGTAACTGCATTGGAACAGCTTAGTAATGGTTGTGGCAAGTTCTGAAGCACAAGTCTTCAGTAATATTGCCAGAGTATTGTCCGGGGCCCGTAGCCTTTGCAGAATCCAGTACTTCCAGCTGTTCCCTGATATTATGTGGAGTGAATCGAACTGGCTGAAGACTGGCATCTGTGATACTTGGGACCTCTGGAGGAGGCCAAGATGGATCATCCATCTTTGTTGATTGTTTCAAATGCTTTAGTCTTACCTTTTGCACTAATACGTTGTCCTATTCTAAGACTGATGATGGGGATGTTTGTGGAACCTCCTCCTCCAGTAAGTTTTTAATTGTCCATCGTCATTCACAGCTAGATATGGCAAGGCTGCAGAGCTTAGATCTGATTCTTTGGTTTTTGTTCTTGTGTGGTTCTTATTTCTATATATTGCTTGCTGCTTATGAAGTTTGGCATGCGAGTCGTCCTGTTTCGTACCTTCACCAAGTTAATACCTCATTTTTGAGTGCATCTGGTGCTGCTCCTGGTATGCCCTCCTGCACTTTTTATTGAACCAGGGTTGATCACCTGGCTTGATGGTAATGGTAGAGTGGAAGATTTGCCAGGCCACGAAGTTACAGATTGTGATGAAGTACAATTCTGCTGGTGATGGCTCACGGTGCCTCATTGATGCCCAATCTTCAGTTGCTAAAAGTATTTGAAGCCTGTCCTACTTAGCACAGTGATAGTGCCACAGAACACAATGGAGGGTATTCTCAATGTGAAGGCAGACTTTGTCTCAAAAAGCAATTACTGATACTGTGTTGAACAGCTGGTAGATTGGTAAGGATGAGGTCAAATGTGTGTTTCCCTCTTGTTGCCTCACTTACCACCTGGTATCAGCCCAGTGCATCTTCACTGTACTGGATAAGGAGGCCCGAAACTTTTCACAGTATTCCAGCTGCAGTCTGACTAGTGACTTGTGAAATTTTAGCAAAATCTCCTTTTTTATACTCTTTTCCCTTTGAAATAAAGGCCAATTTCTCACTTGCCGTAACCCAGTGAACTTGCTAGCTTCTTGTGATTTATGGACAAAGAACCCCAAATCCTTCCATTCTGTAGCTTTCTTCAGTCTTTCTCCATTTGAATTATATTCAGCTCCAATATTCTTCCTGCCAGACTGCATAGCCTCACATTTCCCCACATTATACTCCGTCCACCAGGTTTTTGCCACCCACTGCCTATCTTCAACATCCACAATATTTTGCTGAGGTTGATTGGCTTGCCGAGCTGGTTTGTTATTCCGCAGACGTTTGGGTAACATCCTCAGTGCAGCCTCCGATGAAGCGTAAGTGTGTTTTCCTGCCTGGTTTTTAAACTCTGGAGTCCGTTGAGCTGGATTGCCTCACTTCCGGTTTTCCTTCGTAGTGGAGTGTATATGGGGTCAAGTTCAATGTGTTTATTAATGGCTTTCTTCAGCAACACAGAACTACGCCAAGAAGAAGAAGAATACCTCTTGCAGGTTTTCAAGGATAATGGATATCCAAAAAACTGGGTCAGACGATGCCTACACGAACAACATCAGGAAGATACCACACACCCCAACACACTCATCACGCTACCCTACATCAGGAACACATCGGAACTCACCACAAGACTCCTACGACCGCTGGGCATCAGAGTGGCACACAAGCCCACATCAACTCTACGATGACTGCTCACCCGAACTAAAGACCCACTCCCCACCATGGACAGGACCAATGTCATCTATAAGATCACCTGCAGAGACTGTGAGAAACACTACATCAGACAAACAGGAAGGAAACCAACAACGAGGGTACACGTACACCAACTGGCTACAAAAAGACATGACCAATATTCACTGATCTCAATCCACATGGATAAGGAGAGCCACCAATTCGACTGGGACAACACCAAAATCCTGGGACAAGCTAAGCAGAGACAGGCACAGGAATTCCTAGAAGCCTGGCACTCCACGAAGAAAGCCATTAATAAACACATAGAACTCGACCCCATATACACTCCACTACGAAGGAAAACCGGAAGTGAGGCAATCCAGCTCAACGCACTCCAGAGTTTAAAACCAGGCGGGAAAACACACCGACGCTTCATCGGAGGCTGCACTGAGGATGTTACCCAGCACGGTATCAAAACGTCTGTGAAACAAGAAACCAGCTCGGCAAGGCAACCAACCTCAACGTCCACAACCCGAGCTACAAATCTACTCCAAAACCTTACAATATTTTGCTTTTATAAGAAGCATTGTCCATTGCGGTGCTGCTCTCCCATTCACTCCACTGTGAAAACCTCAACTTCTACCCCTTGCTTGGGACACATTCTCTGTTTTGTCTCC